ATATAAGGTAGCAACGATATCAGTTTTTTGATATCATGATTAATTGCGATACCAAAAATGAAATAATCGCGATAAATTGCATTATCATGATACTAGAAATCACACATGATATCGTGATATTGCAATTTATCACAATAATAAGTAAATCCAGTAGGCCTATTGATCAGTGACAAAAATAGATCATAAAATTTTTTTTTCTACTTTCCCGTAAGAAGGTGTGTTCGATGCATCAGTCGGACGTACTGAGTTAATGTCGTATATGAATACCTAGTACTTAATTAAAACCATATATTATTAATTTATTGTGATCAACATAACTGTGAACGTGAAACTTAGATGAAAAGCGGAATAAATTCAAACATTTGACTTGATAAATTAAAACATGAAAGGATGCATTCGATTATTTATGTTGTGTACGTATCGACGTATGTATTTTTGCCCCGGAACAGCTTACACACATCAATATGCATGAATGCCATGATAAATAAAATCTTCGGGACTAAAATCATTACAAATAAACTCATGGAAAAGAAAAATCAAAATATTTGCTGCTTCTATTAACTTTTATATAATTTCATTGAGACTGGCGTTACTGGCATTAGTTTTATGCTAATAAATTATCACGGCGGGTAATAACAACCAATGAAAAGTGAGCATTATTTGTGGTCTATATTTAGTAACATTTTAATCAACATAACCATGTTGTCGAGACCCTCCCACAAGATATTGGTGACAAATCATTACCGTAATCTCTGAAGTATTTTCGTTCCGATATTTTTTTTTATCGCGATAATTTGGCGATATACCGGGGATGCGATATTTTGACACTTTGACGATATGATACGATATCATTTTTGATAATCGTGATATATCGTCATCCCCGGGATATCGCTGCTACCTTATTGCTATATAATACCATATGAAATACTTCACATATCCTTACCTAGCTTCGTTCCAAGAGTCGCCTTTGGGACATTTGTGCTCCACTATAACCTAATTGACCTCCCAGTTTAAATGTCCTGTTGTAGCTAAAGACCAGCTACTTTGTCTGGAACCCTGGAAGAGAAACATTTTATTTATGGTAGTTTTTTATTGGGACACATTAGCCATTCTCAGGGGTTGATTTATGTCTTGAATATATGTAAATAGTCTTCAGAAGTTTATGCTAATTCCTTTAAAAAAAAAACTCAAACTGGGCATTTCTTTTTCTATATACCAGTATGTCTTTTCTATAAATGGCAGTCATTTTTCAACTCAATAGTCATTAGCCTGCTCTTTTTCGATTTCAAACTGTCAAGGGATTTTAAACATGCATACAGGGCCACAGTTTATTGCCACATCTGAACGACTGGAAACTTTCTCCATATCTGCCCCTCCCACCTGCATCAGTAACAAAAGGAAATCAGGTTTTACAGTATTAAGTTCAATTAATAGGTACTGCAACTCAAAGATAGCCTTCCAGTCAAGGTAATATAATTATGCCCACTGGCAGATTTATTTTCCAATTAAAATATTTGGAAGAATAGTGACAATCTGTCAAATATTCAACAATTAGTCATACATTTCTTCTGAACTTTTTTGATTTTGTAAAAATCTGTTCTCTTAAGTGCTTACAAGCTAGAAATCGAACACTTCGAATACAAGAACAAGGGCAAGAACTCATATTTTTGATCTTCAATAGTGTTCATCCATTAACACACCAAAGTTAAGCAAGAAGCCTTCTAAAGTTTTCACAGACTGATAGATATTTAAGACGGTAACGGATTAGTATAAGCTTCGGCTTGTTTCTGAAACCATTGTTCATATTATGTAATTATCCATTGTAAATCATGAATAAATATTGTTTAAAAAAAAAAAAAGATATTTAAGACGACAAAGTCGAATTTATAAAACTTTGTATACTGACCGTGCTACGTTAATCATCTAACTGTGTGTGGTGTATGTCAAACCCAATAGTAAAGACAGCTATTGAGTTCCCACAGACCTGACGGCTGAAAATAAACATTTTAATTCAATTAAAGCAGGTGTCAATAGTTATAGATTTAACAATTGTTTAAGAGTCTGACATCATTGAACCTTTGATACAGTAGCCTGTTTCCAGAAGTCGTAGATTTATTAAGTGTGTATGGGTACACTTTTCATACAGTAGACTGTTACTCTTGTCACTATGTTTGGTGGTATTTGATTTATCATTTCATTTCATTCATATGTTCAATAATTTAATCTTAAAGATAGTTTCCCTTATTTTCATTTATATATATTATATATATATATTTGATTATTGGACGGCCAATACTTCTATCAATCGAAAGTAGAGGTATTCTAATGAATGGCAAAAATACCAGTTTGTCTCAAAGTCCCTAATTAGCCCATAATTAGCTAATTACGATGAGGATTTCCATAGACAAAAAAATTGTCCAGTCTTTTTTCGAATAACCAGTGTATACAGTCAGGGACATCCGTGATTGGTAAAAAAAAAAACGTGATTGGTAAAAAAAACGCATGTTACAAAACTACTGTACGGATTTGAGTAAAATAAATGCATAATTGTAGAGAAATATGTCTCCTTTATATTTTCTAAAGATTTTAACTGAATATAACAGCCATTATAAACCGAAACTAGGTCAAACTGCCTAATTAACAATTAGTACTCTCAGTTTCTAATTAATCCTTCTAAAACAAATTCAGTTTGATCAAGTAGATTCATAGGTATAAATAGCATATTTTAGAAATATTTTCAGGTATAATTTACGATGTTTTTGATAATGAAAATGTTTTACAAAAAAGCGAAATGCCCATTGAAGATATTCAAAATGACAAAGTTATAATCAAATTTAGGGCAATGACAATTAGAACATCCAATTATTACCTAATTGGAAGATGACCGAATGCCCACACAGCAGAGGTGTTTAATAGTTAGATTCAATTAACAGCAGCATATATCATAATGATTAATCTGTCAAGATTCAAAACTCAGAAAATGTGCATTGCAAAAGTAATCATTTCCTTACTCAAGAACTTCAATTCCAATGATCACCCCAAGTTGCAATCGATTTAAAATTGTAGCTTCTATTCTGCTCACAAACAAATTTTGAAGTGTGTTTTTACCAAATCAAGGCTTCAAATTCAAAAAATAAAGGGAACACAGAAGAAATGGGATCAAGAAAATCCAAGAATATGTTTAGATAAGGATGTCTATGAACGTTGGTGTAATTTCATGGAGGAGAATCAGTTAAAATCTCATGGTGAAGCAGCCACTCGCTTGCTCAACTGTCGGTAAGAATGACGTCATTTGGTCACATGAACAAACATTGAGTTAAAATTTAGCTTCTTAAAGCAGTAAATGACTTGCCCAAGCCTTTCTACGTCTACATACCATATTTTAACATATGACAATTTTTATAATTCATTAGAAACACTGATTAATCAATTAGTAAGCATGATTTGGCCAAGAAAAATGAGGCAGTTTCATTTATATCAGATAAAAACTAAAGTCTTACAAGAAATGTTGACAAACCAACACAATGGAAGAAATAAAAAAAACTTGAAATCAAATACCATCCAATAAGAATAATAACTCGTATTAAATATTTTCTGTTTATTACTATTTTTTAATACCGTTTTGTTCATCCAAGTTTCGTCTGATTCCATCCAGAATTGTGCCTTCTAGAGTGTTTACAAGCAAAATAATTGAAAGTGTTTTCAAGAACAAGTGCATAAACCCATATTTTTTTTTTCGATTTTGTGTCATCCTTGGGTGATAACAGGGTTCATACAGCACTTTGCCTCAAAAATTCGAAGGCTCTTCAAGGACTCTGGGCTTTGAAATTCAAGTACTTTTCAAGGATACACATGTACCTAACTTCTGAACTGTGAGATCAATATAAAGACAGTTAATATTTGTCAATGGGGTTAATCTGTTCTTTGCCTGAAGATGTGTGTGTATTTGAAAATCATCAGGAAGTTTGGTTCTTTTGTCTCCATAACGTGTGTATGTGTAGGCTAGTACTGGTGGTGCTTACAAGAATGGGTAGTTATAGCCTAGTTCTTAAAACCCATAAAATTTCTGCTTTCATGGCAGCAGACACGTAACTTGTCACATCGCTACTTGACCTGCTTTGAAGAGAATTCATCGGCGGTAAACTAGGTTTTGATTGGAAGGGATTGTCACCGCCACCAACATTTGAAGACACTGCCATTATCTGTCCTTCCATTGACTTCATCAAACTGACATGTTTTTCACTACTCATGTGAGATTTCAGAGCTGCTTGTCCCATTTTTGCCAGGTTTATAGTTTTGTTACAAATTGAACAGCGAACATGCTTTCGGTTATCTTTAACCTCCATTTACTAAATTCACACTCAAAAGTACATCTTCCGGACTTGGTGTCTATAGCAATAAACTTAGATTAGAACAATGGCAGCGATCAAGATGTTATTAAGGAGACCCTTTTCCAGTGGGCCCAGCTCTGAAATATTACTTTTTTACGAACAGGTCATTCTGCCAAATTAGCGAAAAAAAATCACTAAAATTCGCGTATAATTGGGAATTGATCAAATATAGTGAAAATTAAAAGCATGTTATTAATTCAAGTTGATAGACATCGCGAGACGTGGCCTTTTAAGTTATATATAGTAACATAATAATCACTGACTCAATCATCATGGTGTGTGGAGATAGTCAATATCATAGATGACAACCGAGACTACAAGACCCATGGCTGTTGCTTTATACCCCCTACTATGTATTCTATGAATACTTCAAAGTCAACGTTTATTATTTTCAGTAACGGCTGTTCTGTTGATGAATCTTACACAGACAAAAATGTCCGCTTATTAAATTGTTAAAAATACACACAAGTTGACTCAACTCAAAATTCAAGGACTTTTCAAGAGAAAATGGTTTTTTTTATGGTGTTTTCAAAGACTTTTTTTG